TCTCTCTCTCTCTCTCTATATATATATATATATATATAATTTATATTTATATTCAATTCAATTTTTATAATTTATATATATATATATTTGCATTTTTATTGGCTATAGAACACTTAAAAATCAGCTATGAATAAACAGTATCGGTCAATATCTACTTACTACATTTCTTGCAAAATAAAAGTTGGACAGAAAAGCATTTTCTTTCTATTTTCCTGAAAGCAAACCTCAGAAAAGGCTGTGAGGATGAAAGGATGCACAAATGACAGGCACTAGATCAACAGCATTACAGCGACGGCGGGTTTTTCTTCAGCTTGTGCAGGTGTTTTTACACAACACCTCACTCACTCACTCACACACACACACACACACAATAGCGTGTTCAAACAGGTATTTATCAACGGCCTTCATGACAAAAGCAGGTATTATTGTGTTCATGTTTACGACATGTACCTTTGATCAAAACTAGACTCGGCAGATCTGAACTAACAGCTACATACTGCTAAGACGACAAACAAAACAGACTTGCTGCAATGCATTATGGGAGTGACTTCTCTGCAAAGAGAAAAGTTATAAAAAATTATATATTTATAACTTATCAGCTCTTTGGCTAAAAGAAGGCATCTTAGAAGGCAGCATAATATAAAATATAAATATAAAATAGTAATATATCAAATTTAACAGCTCTTTGGCTAAAAGAAAGCATCTTAGAAGGCAGCATAAAATAAAATATAAATATATAATAATAGCATATAAATAATAAAATAATGAAATAATATAAATAAATAATATAAAGTTTTATCTGCTCTTTGGCTAAAAAACAAAGCCTCTTAGAAGTCAGCATAATATTTAATGCTGCCTATATAGACATCTTTTTGAGGGTTTTAGGAGAAGCAGGAAGTTGCACCAAAACAGCTGATCCTGAAGCCTGCCGTGCCCTGTGTGTCAAGACTAGTTTCTAATCTAATCCGCTCGAGTCCAGCAGCGATCAAGTGAAACCATGAGGTGTAACGAGTGAATAATGGCTGGTAATTACAGAGGAGCGGCTGTGGAGATAGACATCATGTTATATAACGCTCCGTTCACACTCGCACACTAATCAGTGTTCACTGAAAAACCTGTTTACTCTCTCAATCCAGCCTCCTGTGGTAACGGAAACTCAGCACCCCGAGACTATCACAGCACCATTATGGTATTTTCATGATATTTGACCAACGCATCCCTAGATACTTTAAAGAATACCACAATGACTAAATAACATAAACATATCATATCACATGATGATTTATATGGAAGTACTTAAATACTATGGTATTACAATGATACGTGTCCAGATAATATGGGATTATCTGAGCAGTGTATAACAAATTAACATGATAGATGACTAAATAACATGGTATTAGTTATATAGTTCATGGATAATTTATAACTAATCCATTACATGACAGTAAAATACAGTAAAATAATTTTGTAACTTGTAACTTTATTATGAGTTTTTGTCTATTCATTATAATACGGTACTGTCACATATTATTTATTTAAATCTTTTTTTTTGTTATTTTAGTCTTTTTTTATTTTTATTTTTTTATTTATTCATTCATTTAGTTAGATTTTAATTAATTTATGTATTTATTCATTCATTTAGTTAGATTTTAATTAATTTATTTATTCATTCATTTAGTTAGCTTTGTATTTATTTATTCATTAATTTAGTTAGATTTAAAAAAAATTATTTATTCATTCATTTAGTTAGATTTAAAAAAATTTATTTATTCATTCATTTAGTTAGATTTTTTTTTTATTCACTCATTTAGATTTAAATTTTTTTATTTACTTATTCATTAATTTAGTTAGATTTTAATTTTTTAATTTATTTATTTATTCATTCATTTAGTTAGATTTTTATTTTTTATTCACTCATTTAGATTTAAATTTTTTAATTTTTTTATTCATTAATTTAGATAGACTTTTATTTTCTTTCTTTCTTTATTTAGTTAAATTAATTTAGATGAATTAATTTATTTATTTTTATTATTCATTTTTTAACTAAATGACAGATAATGTAATGTATACACATGAAGTGAACACTTATGCTACATAATATTTACTGTAAATGTGAAAATCCTTACTGTGGTAATACCATGGCGCAGAGTTATTACTTCCAAACACAAACTCTACTTTTTTCACTCGGTATTCCACGTTAAAGACTATCATGGTATTACCACGATAAATGTCCCAAAATGATGGTATTACCATGGTATTAGTCCAAATGTTTACTTTAAAGAAAACCATGATAGTGCCATGGTAAAAGACCAAAATACTACGGTACTGCCATGGTACATGTCCAAAACAATCTGAGAATGCAAAGGCATTTTTTGCAAATGAATTTTTTTCTGCAGTTACACTGAAAAGACTAGAACACTCAGAAATTGCTAGTAAGTTTCACAAATAATTACAATGAATTAAACATGAAAGACTGAGATAGTCAAATCCTTTTTACAGTGTAACTATATTAAATATCAAAGCAGCTTGTCATTGTGTATTTGGTGCGTCTCACCTCTGTGTCACCTCTCACGCCGACAGCTCAAACTAAACTAACGAAACGCCTCGTTATAATTACAGCTGCAGCTCGTCATTCTTCAGTCTGAGCGTCACTGACCATCAAACACAGACCCCATTTATACGGTGAAATATTAATGCTGTAAATGTGTGTCAAATATTAACATTTATATTCATATTTATTTAGAATTATTAATTTATAATTAATATTTAAACATTTTTCTATTCACTACTGTACTGTACTGTTATGTATCTGTATATTATTTAATTATTTTAGTCATTTTTAGCTTATTCAATTTTTTGTACTTATTTAATGTATGTTTATTTTAATCAAATTACACGAGTTAGTTAGATCTACTTTTATTATTTATTTATTTTCACACCGTTTCAATTCATTTTAATCAAATTTTTTAAATTTATTTTAATCAAATTACATAACTTAATTAGTAAATTAGATCTTACTTTTATTATTTATTTTTATATTTTTACCCTGTTTTTCTCTAAAGTGACTGACCCTGACTGAAGTAACCCTAATTTATTTTAATATTTTTTTATTTATAATTTTTTAAACAATTGTTTTAATCAAATTACGTGAGTTTGTAAGATTTTGTACTTTTATTATCTAGTTACATTTTTACATTTTCTTACATTACAGTTTCTATAAATTTTAAAATGTTCTGTAATCAAGTTTGTTAGATCTATTTTATTTATTTATTTTTACACTAGTTAATTTTAATCAGAAATTTTAATTAATTTCTAAAATGTATTTTAATCAACTTACAGAACATAATCAGTAAAGTAGACATTCCTTTAATTATTTATTTTTATATTTTTACTGTTTTTCTCTAAAGTGACCGACGGCTGATTTAATGTTGGTTTATACATAATAACAACAGCAAACGTGACGTATACAAATGAAGTGAACACTTATGTTACATTGTATTCACTGTAAACTCACTGTAAACTAGTTTAGTGGTAGTTTGATATTTACAATGTTATTTAATGACTACATACATTCATTTATCACAGTATTTCACAGAATACCATGGTATTTAAAGCCTATGACTGCAACTGTACCTCACTATTATGACTAAACCCGTCTGTAGATTTTAAACCTGACTGACCAGTGACCAGGTTAAGGTTAGTTAGTTTCACTCACAGTTAGTTTCAGACTCACTTCTGTCCAGAATTAAAACCGCTGAATCTGGATTATAATTAAAGACTGGAACATAATTCCGTACAGTTAAACGCGCTGGTTTCGCTCTTATCAGCGCGTCTCGTTTATCGATAAATTGAGGCTGAGATCATATCGTTACCTTTCTGGAGCTTCCGCCTCAAATCCTTCACCGCTCCTGAAGTGAAACAATAACGAGACAAAATAACGAGAAAGCAGCGGTGGAACCACTGCCAGCGGGATTTCCCACTTTCTCTCAGCGAGTGTGTGTGTGTGTGTGTGTGTGTGTGTGTGTGTGTGTCGCACTGGCCGCGTCTCAATCCCTCTCGCTCCGCCTACGTTGACAGCGAGTGGGCGGAGCCCTGCACGCACACGTGACACCCCGCGCGCTGTCTACACAGGCGCCGCACTCGGGATTGGAACACAGCCCATGACGTCGACATGATACTACACACCTTACACAGGTTCTCTGAATATAACATACACTACCAATCGCAGTTTTATTAATATTCTGAATCAGATATTTTTTTCATTTTTAGTAGTTTTTGTATTTTATCTATAGGCCTATAGTTTTTATATATATTTTTAGTTTTCAATAATTTAATACATTTTTAAATATTTTTTATTTTTAGTACATCAACTTAAACTAAATTAAAATGAGAAATGTTTTCTTTGCAACTAGATAAAAAAGTTTTTAAAATTAAAAATATCTTAACATTTCAACCAAAAGTTTTTAGTTTCAGTTTTAGTTAACTATAATAACGCAAACACACACACACACACACTCACACTCACACACACACACACACACTCTCTCTCACACACACACACAAACACACGCACACACACACACAATCAGTCTCTCTCTGATCGTATTTCTGGACTGATTTCCAGCTATCTCGCTCCATTGCTGACCATCAGGGAGGAAGTGAGGTTATCATGACTTCCTGTTTTACTTAATGTGCTTTTTTTTGTATATAAATAGGCATTGTTTATACACACTCTCTCACACACACACACACACACATATATATATTCATTGTAATATATTGTATAAAATATTAAACTAACAATTTTTGGAGATCATATTAAAAAAATCTATTTGTGACCCTGGACCACAAAACCTTTATGTTTACAATCATTCTGGAAATAAATAAATAAAAATAATAAATCAGTCAGAAACTTTTTTAGATATTTGTACTAGAAAACAAGACAAAAAAGATTTTTAAATTTATTATTTTTTTGCATTCAAGAATGTTTGAATGAGTTTCAAAAGAGCTGAAAAACTGCACTGGTTTGATCAAACACTTATTAAAAACAGATTATATCTTAGAGTTTTCTTATGAAATATGCCATTCAGTGAGTGTCACATTACAAGAGCTGGAGCGCGTGATTATTTAAAGCATTTAAGTAAATGATATGATTGACATCAGCTCGTTCTTCTCGTCCGTCCTGACGGTGAAGGCATTTTGTGGAAATGCAACATTCAGGAGCGACAAAAACCTCAAAGAACTGCACTGGATTGACAAACATTTATTACATTTGTGACCCTGGAGCACAAGACCAGTCACATTCAGGGCTTTCCAGAGATGCTAAATGATTGGATGTTTCTCCGAGACCACTCCCTCTCTTTGCTCTTTAAAAACGGCTGACATTAATTTAGTGATCAAGTGTAACACCCTTATGGAAATATGATAATATTTTGTAATTATCATTTAAATCTGACTAATTGACAAATTGTTTGTCATAAACTAACATCTCAGGAAAATGTTATGGGGTTTCAAATCAAAATATGAGCTTCTGTTATGAAACAGGAGGTTGATTTCATACATGTCCACTGTAGAGGACACCAGGACTTAAAGCTTGTTTATTACACATTTTGGGAGACGCAACAAATGAATAGAGAAAAAATTGTGTATCAATATTCCTATTAAATGTTAGATATTATTATGAAAATCTTGCTAATTATTACTCCCATTATTGCACTTATTTGTTCATTCTATGTTGCCTCAAAAACACATTAATATGCAAATTAGATACAGTTTATAGATACATTGTATATAATGGAAAAACTAGTTTATGGCCATTTTATTTATTTATTATTTTATTTATTTATTTATTTATGCATTTAGCAGACGCTTTTATCCAAAGCGACTTACAGTGCATTCAGGCTATACATTTTTTATCAGTATGTTACATGTATGTTATATGTATTTTACACACATTTTGCATAAAGAAAAATGTTTTTTAAAAATATCTTTCATAACATAGTTGAGAATCATCTTTATATAAAGTTTGGTATAAAAAAATGAAAATTGATTTGTGGTTAAAACAAAAATCCCACTCTTTTTGCCTTTTCATGTTTATTCATGTCTTTTTATTTTTTTTTTAAAAACAGGACTTTTTAAAGTCCCGATGTCTTCTACAGAGGACATGGCATAACATATGAATAAAATATCATTTTTCAAAAATTTTATTATGCTCTAAACAATGTAATGACATGACAAAATACAAAATTCACTTAACTGTTTTTTCCTGGTAGTCAGGAGGATACAATGTATCGTTGGCTATTGCTACAAATATACCCCAGCGACTTAAGACTGCTTTTGTGCTGCAGGGTCACACATGATATGATACAGCACACAGATTAGCTCACGTTTAATGAAATCCCAAAATATTTGTATAAAAAGTGAATTCTGTCTAAAATGAGAATGCAGTAGTTTAACGTGTGTTTGTTCTGAATCAGAGGAATGCATGTAGTTTACATCGACACACAGCATACATTAAATTCATCCAATGTCAGCTGTGTTGGTTCACACTCAGATGTCACGGAGTCTACACACCAGGTTTGCAGGCACGGATATATATCTGCAGAAACAGTCGAAAATAATAAACCCATCAAATGAAGCTGAGTATGAGCAATAGGACACACCCAAGCAACGTGTTATCACTCATCCTGCAGTTAGACACATCCCTCCAGACTGAGAAACACGTGCACTCATAACATCGCTGCAAACACAAATCAGCTATCAGGTCTGACCGCTTCTCACGTGTCCAAGACGAGGACAACACGCTGATCTGAGCGTGTGAAAGTGTGCGAAACAAAGCATCAAGATTACGAACGGATAAAAATAACAGCACACAGGTTTAAAATACATCTCTTTTTGATTTATGGAGATATTATATAGACTACCAATCAAAAGTTGGGAATAATGACGATTTTTAGCATTCTCTTCTCTTCTGCTTGACCAAAAATACAGTAAAAAATTTGAAATATTATTCTAATCTAAAACAGCTGTTTTCTATGTGAATATCTGTTAAAGTGTAATTTATTTCTGTGATCAAAGCTGTATTTTCAGCATCATTACTCCAGTCTTCAGTGTCACATGATCTTCAGAAATCATTCTAATATGCTGATTTGCTGCTCAACAAACATTTCTGATTATTATCAATGTTGAAAACAGTTGTGCTGAACAATATTTTTGTGGAAACCGTGATACACTACTTAAAGAAATAATATTTTCTATTCACATAGAAAACAGCTGTTTTAGATTCTAATAATATTTCACATTTTTTACTGCATTTTTGATCAAATAAATGCAGACTTGATGAGCAGAAGAGACTTCTTACAAAAATCCTAATTATTCTAAAATACAACATATTAAATATATCTTCATGGAACATGATTTTTGGCATAAAAGAAAAATTTATAATTTTGACCCATACAATGTATTGTTGGCTATTGCTACAAATATACCCCAGTGACTTAACACTGCTTTTGTGCTGCAGGGACACAAATACAGATGAATCTCAGCAGTTGGTTGTAGCTGATCATAAATAAAGTGATACTCCACCTATTTTGTTGTGTTTGGGGAGGTTGAGGTTGTTCATGATGTTGAACTAGACCTTCAGCGACAAACAGGAGAATAAACGACACACAAACATCCCTGATACTAACTAAACACTTCATCTGGTTAACACTGCTGTCTCTTTCAGACTCAACAGAAGAGGTTTTAGTGTCCTGCAGTTTAACACACAGCGTCTCACAGCTTACCAGACCTGAGTGAAGACAGGTGAAGAGCGTTACTGTGTCGCCACCATGTGGACGTCTGAAGAACTACATAAACAAGACAAAACACACTGAACAACCTACAGCAGCGATTAGTGCTGGAGCATATAATCGACATTCCTTTCATTCATGGATATGTATATGATTATATTATGCTGTTTATGTGGGTATTACATTTTCTGCACAGCATGTCTTTTAGACTAGCTTCACAATAAATACTGCTGTTTATGACTGCGTGTCGTTATATTGGTGCATAGAAGTTTACAAGATTTAATCTCATTCTTCCTTGCTTTAATTTAGTGTAAAACAGTGCTGTATTTGAATTTTCACATTGCAGTGAACATTTTAAATCTGCTATAAACAGAGGTGCATATGAAAAATAAAAAAGTAAAGAAAAAGTAAATGTAAATATTAGATTTGTATTTTAATGTGTAGTGTACTATAACCGTAGTTTTATTTAATACTCATTTTAAAATATAATAGTGCGAGATATAAATCAGAATGAGATATAAATCAGAATTGCGAGATATAAATCAGAATTGCGAGATATAAATCAGAATTGCGAGATACAAATCAGAATTGCGAGATATAAATAAGAATTGCGAGAAATAAATCAGAATTGCGAGATATAAATCAGAATTGCGAGATATAAATCAGAATGGCGAGATATAAATCAGAATGGCGAGATATAAATCAGAATGGCGAGATATAAATCAGAATGGCGAGATATAAATCAGAATGGCGAGATATAAATCAGAATGGCGAGATATAAATCAGAATGGCGAGATATAAATCAGAATGGCGAGATATAAATCAGAATGGCGAGATATAAATCAGAATGGCGAGATATAAATCAGAATGGCGAGATATAAATCAGAATGGCGAGATATAAATCAGAATGGCGAGATATAAATCAGAATGGCGAGATATAAATCAGAATGGCGAGATATAAATCAGAATGGCGAGATATAAATCAGAATGGCGAGATATAAATCAGAATGGCGAGATATAAATCAGAATGGCGAGATATAAATCAGAATGGCGAGATATAAATCAGAATGGCGAGATATAAATCAGAATGGCGAGATATAAATCAGAATGGCGAGATATAAATCAGAATGGCGAGATATAAATCAGAATGGCGAGATATAAATCAGAATGGCGAGATATAAATCAGAATGGCGAGATATAAATCAGAATGGCGAGATATAAATCAGAATGGCGAGATATAAATCAGAATGGCGAGATATAAATCAGAATGGCGAGAT